ACCGCGATGTTTTTTACTCCCATACGATTGAAGCGCCCCAGACGCGCACGCCCGGCTCATGGCCGTAAACGAAGGAATCCTGCGCCCGCCGCACACTTACGCTCATAAGATTGAAGCGCCGAGACGCGCACTGTTAGAATTAAGTTCAGGCCCAGCTGCCTATATGTTCGAAGCATATATACTTGCCTATTTAGCCCAAAGATATGGAATTCTTGTCCAATTACTTTTTCTCTCTTCGGTATGATGGTACTCTACAGAACTCGCTAATCCTAACAAATCCATGTAATTAACACCCACTTACTTGACACATTACCCTTCTCGTAACAAATTATTCTTATTATGCCCTCATTTTTTTCTTGCAACTTAGTAAGGTGATTGACAAACACATTATTATCCTCCTCCTTAGCCCTTTTACTGGCCTGGTACACTTATATTTCAGCTTCTGAAGATGATTGACCCTCCTCGCTACTAAATGTTGTACCTCAGTGCGAAACCTCCGCCGCACCCGCTACCTTGAAACGCGACGACCCAAGCGACCATCGGATCACCAGGAACCATCTGTAGATACCGAACAGAACCTGTATCCCTATCTGCTACTGCAGTGTTCCAGCGTTGCAGACGGCTCGAGGACGAGCCTTTCGCGTGGCCGAGCGATGTGAACAATACGTAGCAAGACCGGATGGCAGATTCACACCTCGGTCCAATATATACATATATATATATATATATATATATATATATATATATATATACATATATATATATATATATATATATATATATATATATATATATATATACATATATATATATATATATATATATATATATATATATATATATATATATATATATATATATATATATATATGCTTACATACATGTATATATATATGTACGTATAAATATATACATATACAAATAAATAGGTAAATACATTTGTATATATATATATATATATATATATATATATTTATTCACACATACGCACACACACACAGTATATGTATATGTATATATATATATATATATTGTGTATATGTATGTGTATATATACATATTGTATATATATATACATATATATACACATGCAAGTATATACGTATAAAAATACACGTATATATATATATATGTATATATATATATATATATATATATATATATATATATATATATATATATATATATATATGTATATTTCTTTATTCATAAGTATGAATATATGTATGTGCGTGTGTATATATGTATATACATATTTATATATACGTATGTATAAACACTCTGTATAAGTATATATATATTTATATATACATATACACAGTGTTTATATATATGTATATATAAATATGTATATACATATATATACACACGCACATACATATATTCATACTTATAAATAAAGAAATATACCTATATATATATATATATATATATATATATATATATATATATATATATATATATATATATATATATACATATATATATATATATATACGTGTATTTTTATACGTATATACTTGCATGTGTATATATATGTATATATATATATATATACAATATGTATATATACACATACATATACACAATGTATATATATACATATACATATACTGTGTGTGTGTGCGTATGTGTGAATAAATATATATATATATATATATATATATATATATATATATATATATATATATATATACAAATGTATTTACCTATTTATTTGTATATGTATATATTTATACGTACATATATATATACATGTATGTAAGTATATATATATATATATATATATATATATATATATATATATATATATATATATATATATATATATATGTAAATACTCACATATGTGTATACATATATATATATATATATATATATATATATATATATATATATATATATATATATATATATATGAACATATATTAGTATATATATACATACATATTTATAAATAATTTTCTAATAACTGATACATAACAAATAATACATATAATGTTATAAATCTTCCGTTAGCTTTATATATGCATAGATATATCTATGATTATTCTAAAGAAATTACGGACAATAGTTGTTATTTGCACCCTGGAATAGAACCTGAATTGGTTCGGGAAAGAACGCTCTATGTGTGGTTATCATAAGGATAAGTCCGATATGCGAAGCTGAGCCTCGCCCGGGCTATGGGGAAGCCCGGCCTGTGCCGACTAGGGCGGTGCGCGAACCGCCGACCCCTCGGATGAGAGGCCGACACGTTACCACTGTACTAGCCCGGAGGCTGTGTGGTTATCGCGGGCTCCCCTCAGCCCCTTGATGTCTACCCAGATAACCGAGCCTACGGCAAGAAACGCGCGCACACAAGGCCAGTTGAAATGCCTCTTAACTTCTACTAAATAAGCACTCACTTACTTTCTTCCCCCATGGCGAGCGCACAGTAAATGTGTGCCGGATACCAGACCGCTATCTTTTCCAATCGATTATCTCGCCAGAGACAAACAAAGGAAAGATAACCGGTGATTAGCTAGGAAAAATCTATTGGCACAACTCTGCAAACTAAATGTTCAAATAATTCCTGTATTTCCACAGTCGACTACATGCCTCGAAGACACGGACGGAACTAACACGCACTGAACATCCTGTCATCGACAGCATCGTTAGCGTCTCTTATCAAATCAATTTCAGACAAATATTTTTAAGTGCTATATTAACAATGAATATCAAATTTAAAAACTACAGAACAATACTTCCATTGTCTATCTTTTATGAATCTCTGAAATAGTTTGCAAGCAGGAGTGTCTGTCACTATCATTGCCGTGGTAATCTGCTGGAGAGTGACGCCATCGCATCAGCTTTCGGTCGGTCTCAAGGATGAAGAAGGACCCACAGGCAGTGGGGAAATTTGCGCACATCTATCATAGTTAATTATGCTCCTCGGCTCTGGTGCGCGACGGTGCTCTCCACTGAAATCCTTAAGGAATATTACACCCACACCTTTCCTAATGCATCCGTCCTCAAAATTTGGGAATTATCCTGTAAGTTTTCGGATAGCCTTGCTGTACGGAGCTTGTTTGAGAGCAAGGCATGCTGCATCTTGATCTTCCCACCAGAGGAAGCCGATTTCTATCTGCATAAGGTTGACAGGTCTAGACGAAACGCTGTGAAAGAATGAGGATTTCGACGCCGGGAATGTCATCGAGAAAGGTCTTAGGCCTTGGTCGCCGAGAATCGTACTCTGTGGTCTCATTGAGGTAATCGTTATCTTCTTAATGTTAGTCGGCTCATGTGGCTTGTAGCCCACGCTGGACGATGAATACGGTGGGTTCACATCACATTCCCCTTACTTTGCTATTAAGATCCACTTTGATTTCCTTCCATATCATATAATTTATTTAGACTTTCGGCATAACTCTCCCGAAATACGAGTGATAAAACACCACTCAAATTCACCATCAGTTTCATTTTCAGCGAAGTTTCAGTGTAGCACGCAAAGAAATCACAGAATCATATACAGAACACTCTTTCAAAAGGCCACAAGACCAGTTCTGTAGTTCCGTAACATAACGTAATGTATTAATTCCAAACATCTTGTAGTTTGGTGTGGTTATATATTGTACATTTTATATTTACAATCTTTATCATTACTATTGTAGCTATTGATAGTAATGGAATCATTGTTATATGATGTTATTGTGGTTCTTGTTTTTGTTTTGGTTAATGTTTATTTCATTATTATGATTCTTGTTATGATCATTATAATATTTATCATTTCATACTATTCTTATTCTTATTCTTATTCTTATTCTTACTACTGTTATTATCATCTATTATTATTATTATTATTATTATTATCATCATCATCATCATCTATTACTATTATCATTATTATTATCTATTATTATTATAGTAGTAGTAGTATTGTTGTTATTATTATTGCTATTACATTATAACTATCATTATCCTTAACATTTTCATCACCACTGCTATTGTTATCATTGCATCACATCACTGTTATTACCATCTATCATTTTTATTATTATCTTCATCATTATCATTATCCTCATCTTACAGCAATGATTATGACAATTATAATGATAATAAGAACAATAACAATAATAATGATAATAATAATGATAATGATAATAATGATAATGATAATGATAATGATAATAATGATAATGATAATAACAATAATGATAATGATCATAGTGGGGATTATAATAATAATAATAATAATAATAATAATAATAATAATAATAATAATGAATATTATTATCATTATTATTATTATTGTTATGTTTTGTGCCATTATCATTATAATTATTATTATCATTATTATCATTGATATTTTCAGTTTCATCATTATCACTATCATCTTCATTATCATTATTATTATCGTCTTCATTGTTGTTGTTGCTGCTACTGTTATTGTTATCCTTATTATCATTATAATCGTTACGAACATCATTATTATTATTCTTGTTATTGTTACTTTTATTATTATTATTATTATTATTATTATTATTATTATTATTATTATTATTATTATTATTATCATTATTATTATTATTATTATTTTGTCGTTGTTGTTGTTGAGTTTTATCATTGTTATTTTATATAATAATTATCATTAACCTTATTATTGTTGTTATTATTACTATTATTATTATCATTACCATCATCAATAATTGCTGTTATATATTAGGTGATGTAAATGTTTAAAGCTTAGTATGTGTTATGTGATCTTACTGAATTCTCAAGATTTTTTTATATCTATCCTGTTCCGATATATGGATTTGTTTTATTATTATTATTATTGGGGTTTTCCTATAACTTAGAGATAGCAAGGGTACAATTGATTAGTAAAGTGTTCATGTGTTATCACTTGGGATTTTGTAGTCTGCACAGATGATGTTATTTTTTTCTTTTATTAACGTTGCACTAATTAAGCAACGTTTATCTGAAGAACTTCAGACCATTGGAGAAATTATTTTATACCCGCA